ATATGCACATGTATATACACTCATGTATTCCAAGTTTTTTTTTTATTGATACATACATATTTACATCATAAACAAATATATGCATATATATACAGAAAAATCTCTTTTCTTATAATATATCTATTTATAATCCTATAAATTTTTTGTTTGATTTTTTTTTTTTATATATTTGCATTCCAAAATTCCTTTAAATTGGAATTTGTGTCCATTAAAATAAAGTCTCTTTAATTCAAGTGTAAGCTATCAGCCAACTGACTTATTGCTTTGAATGAGTTACATTCAAAACATGAGTATGTTCCATGTTAGAATACAAATCACTTTGACAATATCACCACCACCACCACCATCATCATTACCAAGCTGACTTGACTGGGGTTGACTCAACACTATGGGCATCATGTAGACGTGAAATGCAGTTGCTGCTTTCCAAACAGATGGACCAATACATTCACTGGAATACAGCAAGTGGTAGTTCCTAGATAAGGCACAGAATGACCAGCATCCTGGAGGAGTTGTCCTTGTATGACTAGTGTCCTGAGTAATGTCATTTCTGTCACTGTTGCACTGAGAGAAGAGCTAACATTACACCTGCATCTATCTGCACAAATATGCACATGTACACACCCACTTTATGCTTATAATTTCCACATTTTCCAAGTGAAAACCAGTCACAAGTTTTTGTGGATTGGAAGTAAAGGGAGGTGGTGTCAAAATATTTTTACTGATCTGAGAAAACAGTTTAACCCATTATACTAGATGAATCAAAAATTATGCACCAAACTAATTTCTCTCTTTCATGAGATTACAATGAATAATTATTTGAAGATGATTCAAATGAAGTTTGTATTTGTTTATGGAGATACCCAGTACTACACATTACTCAAAATATAATTTGAGTTTAGATGTTAAAATACATTTTGGGTTTTAAAATACAATTTTTGATTTCCTCTGTACATGGGCTATTTGTTTGTGATATTACAATATCTAGTCAGGGTTAACAGATGTGGGCTGCACATGTCTCTCTTTCATTCACAATTACCAATTATCTAACAAAAGCAGTTACCAATACACATCCAAAGTTTATGTTCATAATAGATCATCATGCATATCAACAATTGTACAATTCTTTGTTGAATCCCTTCTCAGCCAAATGCAATTATTTACTCAGTATATTTCATTTTTTTTCTTCTTTTCTGGACATCTGTTACAGTCAAGTTCATTTTGTCAGTGTCCTGGAAATGGTTATCACTGATAACTCTTTTCAGTCAATGTCCCCAAACACCAGGCGCTATCAACTACACACAGTCAGAAACATGGAGAGATTGTCACTGTCATAAGCCACTTGTCCAGTCTACAATGCATTGGTAGTTGACTGTCTGGACACACAACACTACAGTGCTTACCAGCTTCACAAGAATATTGCCACAAAATTAGGTTGCATTATGCTTTGGTTCAGTGAAGATTAAGAATAAAGATCTAAGACTGAGATCTGCTTCAAGGAAGTTCTTTGGGGTTACTTAGTTCAATTCAATTAAGTACTAACAATTAGAAAAAATAAGAGGGAAGAAAAGGAAAAAATGCACTAAGTATCTAAGAAGAAATTAAATAAAATAGAATAGTGTATTTTAGACATTTTAAGATAAGTGTAATAGATAATATTATAATTTTATATATTAATATAGATGATAAGTAAATATTTGCTATATTTTAGAAACAGGTGCAGACAGAAGAGAAATACTAGAAAAAATATTAGAAATAAACAGTATACAGTAGTTAGTATTTCTTTTTGAGTAAATGATAACACAAAAGTGTTAATAATAATTAACAGTAAATAAACATGCATTGATTTATGGAGCCAAACCTTGAGAACAGTGACTTGCTAACATAATGGAAAAATCCAAACCTTTTTTATCTCAATAATAATGCTTGCAAATTGAATTGAATAAAGTATTTAGCAAATTATAAAGTGCTTAGCATATTTGCCTAACTTGTACAGTTCTATCTTATTGGGACGGCCTGAGTGTGGTGCTAGCATAGATTGTATAGACAAGGATCCGAACTGTAAATTTGATAGCAGTATACTGCCAAGTTGATGATGGATATAATTTCCTGTTAAGATTTTGTGAAAGAATAAAAAAAAAATTCTCTCATAGATTATGGGTCAAGTCTATAAATTCAAGTGATGCTATATCTAAATGACAGCAAAATTATCTTCATTATTAATATTAGATTTAACATAAAGCCTACTTTAGTATCTTGAACAACATTAATTACATAGAAATCATGCTGTTCACATTATTAATATAAAAAGGTGTTTTTCCTACAATCATACTCTATCCTTTATGTAAAATGCTGCTCACAGGAAGTTATCTCCTTGGCTTTTCATTGACCAGAGTGGGGAAAAAGAAAACAGCAAGGGTAAAAAAAGAAAGCACTGATCAGCCTTAATAAAATTTAAAAGAAAACATCTTGAACAATATTCCATGAAATATATAAATTTTCATAAAATGTTTCACCTGAATCTGTTCTACTTGTGCCATGGCTTGATGACAAACTTGAACTGGCATGGCTGTAAAAATTCATACTTTACAACAAAGAATAATAACCAAAAGGAAATAGAAAGCTAACTTTAAAAATTTCATCTCATCACTTTTATTTTTATTTTTGAGGTTTTCTCATTCTAAGACAATTTTTAGAGGGAATAAACAAGAGGAATTGTACTGAATAAGAGTGTAGATCAACATTAAAATAGATCTGTGAATTTGCACCTAGTTGATGATCGTTATAGGATTTCTTAAGCACCTTAATATACAAAATTTAGGAGAATAAAAAAAACTCTTCTACATGATCTGTGTAAAAATTTATAAGCTTTTTGATACAATATTTTCAAAAACAATATTGCTTGTATTAATGAATTCACAGCCATTTTACCAGTTTTTGTATGGTTGCTAAAATAATATTGTCTGGTCAGTATTTGGATGGGAGACAGCTTTTTGAATAACAAGCAACTCTGCCCATTCCTGAGGTCATAGCAAAAAGGGAAATTTTTATCTTTTTTGTTAAAACAATTACACAGAAAGCAGATACATTTGCAAGACCAAACAGGATGATATTCCTATTAAAAAAATTTACAGTGGTGTTAATGAACAGGCTGAGCTAATTTCTCTTTTGAGCAAAAAAAGAAAAATATATAGACAGGCAGAAAAAGTAAGAGCTTTTGTATGAGTAGATCTTAAATGCAAAAAGTTTGTGTATATTACCAAGTGGTTTAATGTTGTAGCAGGAAAGAGACAATTCAAAATTATATGCTTAAAAAGGCACCACTGTGAAAACCAAATATTAAGAGAAGCCAGCTTTAAAGAGATAGGATTTAAAAACTTTGCAAGCAAGCATAACTGAATACTTTGTTTTGGTTTAATATTAAGAAATATAATTGTCTTAAGGTTTGACAAGAGCTAATATATTAGATAAAAATAGTATAAGAATTTTGCTTAGATTATAGTTTGGTAATTCTCTTAATAAACATGTACGAACTGATCATAGATTATACAATAAAAATAAGATTTCATTTATGCTCTGATTTAATGGACACATGATCTTGATTAAAGTTTGTAGACAACTTCTATGGAGGACGAAAATAACATGTCATTTCTGGAAAAATATTTGGAATCATGATTTAGAAGACTAACAAGCAACATCACAGAATTATACTTCCATGTACTTATTTCAAATTTAAGGAATTATTTGTATAGCTCTTTTTTTTTTCTTGATTGAAATATATTTTTATTCATTTATTAATCCAAATAAATGCACCCAGTATCTATAATGGAGTTCTGTGAAGGATTAAAAATAATAAAAAAACAACCAACAATGTTCAGTTTCAGTAATAGTTAAAATGTTCAACAACCTGCAGGCATCGAATGCTGCAAATAATCCTCTGAGGTGAAAAGACACAAAAATATCATGAGTAAAAAATATTGTGTCTCATTGCTAGCCCATACCAACAGAGGCAGAGAGAGTAATATTTCTTTTTAGATAAAATGACAAATGATTTCAGGACAGGAATTTCAGAATTTGAAATTTAAACCCAACATATTTTACCTAGAATAAAATGAATAATGGAATATGAAATTAAGTCTGTGTTTCTATGTTTTTGTTCTGTATAAATGTAGTTACCACAGGAACCACTTACAAAGTAGTAATTATAAATATAGTAATTTGTAAGTTTAGTAAATATAGATTCAGTACAGTGATCTTTGTGATATGATAGGAAATGGGATATTATATATATATATATATATATATATATATATATAAAAGAGATAGAGAGTAACATTGTGGTGATTAACTTGGTATGTAGAGCACAAAAATTTGCCTTTTGTTCTGACACAGCCTATTATTTGTTTTGGACAAAGAAAAGATGTTGACAGAAAGGAACATTGAATAATTTCTCTGTTGGAGAACTAAATGCCTCTCAAATTGAATTTTATCAATCAGGAGAACAATTACAGAAAATCTCTTTTCCATATTTAGATTCAAATTGAAAATATGATTGTTATGCTAAAAATATAAGAGAAATTTAGTCTATATATATATATATATATATATATATATATATATATATATATATATATACTGTCAGTTTTATGAATTTCACATGTATTGGCCATTGAAAATGTGTGTGTGTGTGTGTGTGTGTGTGTATGTATGTATATATATATATATATATATGCACTGAATAGGATATTTAGTATGAATATATGCATGTCTGTGTGGGTTTGCAAGAGGATAGTTGTAAAATGATATTAATGATTTCAAACCCCAAAGAACTTCATAAAAACAAATATTAACTAAAATTTTTGGTTTTTCAATAGTTCAAGTGACAAAAATACATGTATAATGTATGCATATATGAGAGATGAACTAGTGAATGTTTTACTAAGTGTACATATCACAGTGTTTGAGAGCAGGGCCCTCTCTGTGGGACTACCACTCACTAATCATATGAGAAAAGAAAATGGGTGAAAGGGAAAGATTTTGAAGAGAGATAAAGAAATGGAGAGATAGATGTGGAAGAGAGAAAATAAGCAACCAGTGCCTGTCTCTCTCTCAAGCAGTGCTAGGAGCCCCACTGATCAACTAGCATCTCTCACCGGTGGTGTTTCTGGCTACAACACAGTTACAATATCCACACTAGTATGAAGAATAATTATTCAATTTGTAATGGTGGTATTAGTAGTAGTAATAATAACAGTGTAATTGTATCTGTGATAATAGTACTACTAGAAGTAGTAGTACTAGTAATATTAGTACTTGAAAGAGAGGAGGGTCTTCCCAATATAAATGAATAATTAAGGAAGCTTTTCGTTTTTCCAAATAAATTTTCCTTAGAAAAATTATAAAAATATTGGTCTTTTTCTTTCTTTCATATATGTTAGAAAGGAGAAGATAGAAAATTTAAGCCGGATTCAGATTTTAGCTGGGTGTAACAATGTGGGTGTGTGCTGGGGTGTTTGAGAAGTGTGACTGTCAAAAGAGAAAGAAACCATTACTTGGGGTGAGACAGGAGGAGGATTTATAGATGGGATGAGGTTCAGGAAAGAGATCACATACATACAAACACACAAAGACTGAGGAAGAGCATAGGAAGATGGTCAAGGCTGGCCAGCAGCAGCACTCCCTGCTTAGTGAATTTGGCAAATGTGGGTCCTTTGGTGCCAATTTCCTCAAACACTGACCACAGTGGAAACAGCAGCATGTTAAACTGACCAAAAATTGATCATTGTTATTTCTCACATAGAGAAGAAAAATGGATCTAATCTGAATCTGAATCACTGGACACATTGCACTGTTCTTTCCACCAGCCTCGTACACTGGTATCAACATTACGTCCTCGAAGGAAATAGTCAGGCACTTTTTCCTGAGCTGTCTTGGTGGCTGTACTTTCTCCTTCAGTAACATTGGGGAGACTTTTGGCACCTGACCAAAAAATAAATAAAAATTTTTACATTAGATTTATTAGATTGTTCAGAAAATAATGGCATTTTTTCTTACATTGATCTTTATACTTGAAACAAACAAAATATAGTTTAATACAAGTTGAGTGTTATATACAATTTTATAGAGTAGTTATTTATTTAAAAGTTGTACTTATAGAATTCTCTACTCTTTACAGGTTGTAGTTGTCAGGTTGCTGATTTTCTGATATGAGTTCAAGCTTGAATAAAAAACTACAAAAGTGCATAAGACATTAATCAGGCATTTGGCAAAGAACCATTTCCTGTTTATATGATTCCAAGTCAAAGATTGGTGTTACACAATATTTTTATTCTTATTTCCATCCATTTAATCTTACGCAACATTAAGCTAATATTAGTAAGTACTGATATAGTACAAAATCATCTTAAATTGTGTGAAGAACTTTCTATAAAAATAAAATCAAAATGAAAAAATATAATGGCAGCATTGGTGCAGTCTTTTTTTAACCAGAGTGTTTCATGACATAGAATATAGTCCTAATTAACAACTGTCATTTCTTCCAAACTGAAACAGTCTTTCAAATGAAAGTTACTGAATTTTAGAAATTACACTAGAATTGAAATTAAAAATAAACAAATCTGAAGATAATATTTTTAAGAAAAAAATTGTGGTGTAAAACTTTATAATAGAGTGTGTAAAGAGAAAATAAAGAGAAAAATTACTCAAACTAAAATCTTGTAATTTTAGTTTGAGCTCATCCTGAAGAATTAACTTGATTCATAAATTATAGAGAAAAGATAAAATAGTGAAATCATTTTATTTTTTAACTTCCTTAAAATTTGTTTTGAATTTTTGGGATGAGGAGTTATCATTACTTGCATTGAAACTAATGTCCCCATCTTTGTTAACATCACAATGTTTTGGCCATTGTGCCCTCTGTCCTTCTGTTGATAAAGAGTTCTAAATTCTTTATCTCTTTCACTGCTTAATATAAACTGCATTATATCCAAAAGCAAGCCTTTACAAGAAGGCATTTTCACAATGTAAATCATCAAAATAGTTATTAGGAATGTGACTATTATTTTTTTTAGTCATTTTACCCCAAACAAGACAATAAAGCCATTAGGATGCAGGGGTTTACTGAGTGTTAGAAAATATAATAAAAGCTACTATTAAAGAGAGAGGACAATAAAAAAAAGCACAAATTAAGGCATGATAACAACTGACACTGCATTTAAATTTTTGAAGATCAAAGTTGACTGAAAAGCAAGAAGCCAGAAGAGAGTTTCACAAGTAAGAAGTGCAATAAAAGAAACTGTTAGCATAGAACTTACAATTGCATCTAGCCATTTCAAGTGTGAAATGATGAGACTTTGCTGCCAATCAAGTACTGCACTTAACTTCATAAAGTTTAAGCATCATAGCAGAAAGTTTACCAGAACAATTACCATAACAGTATTTATAGAAAAGGCACAGAGAATCTATATTACAGCAATGAGAAATGGACTGAAGCTGAGATGCCAGGCCAGAACCAATAACATTCTTTGGATTTTATCAAGGACCTCTAAATATATAGTAGGAGCACCATACCAGATGTGAGCAATATTCAAAGCAAGGACGAATGCTAGACTTATAAATATGTAAGATAGATTCTGGTGAGAAAAATTGTCTAGCATGACATAGTGAACAAACTTTCTTAGCTATAGACTTAGCAATTGATTCAATATACTCTTTTCACTTGATGTCAGCTGAAAATGTTAGTCTGAGAAGATGTAACAAGTCACTTTCTTGGAGGTTAGCATCAGTCATGCTGATGGAAGATAAAAAGGGTTTTCTCACATGATTAAAAGAGAGCAGTTTTGTTTTTTGAGGCATTAAAATTAAGAAACCACTCTTTTGTTCCATTTAACAACAGATTGTAGGTCACTTTTGAGATCAGCTGCCAATTTGACCTTATTGAACCAAACAGACTTATTAACACACAGGAGTAAATAGTTGTGTCATCAGCACAGATACTGAGTTGAGAAGAGATGATATCAGAAAGGTCATTTATGAAAACTAGAAACAATGAATATCCAAGTATAGAGCCATGAGGAACACTTGCATTTATGCAAAAAGATCTAGAAGAATAACTGTTCAAGACAACTTTCATTTTGTGATTTGATAAGAAAGACCAGTATGCCAAACCCTGTCAAATACTTTTGGGATATCTAAAGCAACAGCCTGAGCTTCACCATTCTTATCTAAAATTTATAGGCTCTTTTAGTAATAATTGTTAACACATCAGCAGTTGACCTAGAGAAGCAAAAGCCATATTGCCTATCTGAAAGAAGACCCTGCAATGTGAGATGCTTAGCCAATTCAGAGTTAATTAGGCTGATAGAAGGATCAGATGGTTAGTCTGAGTTCTTAATGACTAGAACTACAGAATAGGATTTCCAACAAGCAGGAAAGCAAGAAGCAGCAAGGCATTTATTGTAGAATTTAGAGACCACAGGAGACAGTCCAGGAGCATATTTCTTAAGGACTATTGCAGGGATACCATCAAATCCACATGCTTTGTGAGGACCCAGTTTAGAAATGATAGTTGAAAGCATGGAAGGAGTTATATGCATATCACTCAATAGAGACTTAGTTCTAAGTGGAAAATCAGGCAAAAGTATTCCAAATGAGTCAAGAGTAGAATTTAAAGAGAATTTACAAGCCAAACATTCTGCTTTATCAGTAGAAGATGTTAAGGCTTCAAATTGAGTAAAGAGAGGAGGATAGAAGACTTACTCTTATGTAATATGCTATTATAGAGCCACAAATAGTCACGGGAAACAAACTTGTTAGAGATTATACAGTACCTCATTCTATCAGCAAACAAAGACTGAGCCTCTTTGAGGATACATTTACAATTATTTTGAGCAGCCACAAATAGATGTCTATTGTGATCAGAATTATCACACTGGTACACCCGGAAAAAAATATTCATATGGGCTATAGTGACTGAACAGGCTTATGTGAACCAAGATTGTAGTTTCACTTGATATTTGCAAGAAGGTACAAAAGGATCAATATTGGCTTTAACCCAAGAATAAAACTCTGTGGCTCAATTCTCAATAGGAAGGTTAAGAATATCAATCCAAGGAGTGTCTCAAATAAAGTTATGAAATGAGATGACTGTATTCAATGTATCATTCTAAATTGAATCAACATTAAAATGAAACATTATTTATGTTGAAATACCAAGTCAAAGATGATTTAAATGGTAGATACCTTACTCATTTGTTTTTCTTTCACAAAGGAATTTCTTGGGTCTAAGATGATAATTCACTGCTAATTTCACTTATAAAAATTATTGAATATTTGAATACATCAATAAAAAGATGAAATATGAAGATTTATTTTAAGTTATTTGAATTCTGAGAAGAAACATTTTCGTGGCCAATCTTTGATTAATCTTTTCTTCATTTTATTGTTGCTTTTTATCACAACTTTCTATATTGAATACCATTCAACCATATAGCATGAAGTTTTGAAGTGGAGAGTTGGCAATATTATTGTAGATTTATGTCCTGTCTAGTCATAAGCTTCTCTGGTTAAAGGTATCATTCATAAAAAATGAGCTTCTGGGATATAAATTCATTCACTTGTCTTCTTTGTTCAAAATTAATGCTATTTAATAGTTGGAGGGTAATTGAAGTGGAAATTTATTATAAAAAGCAAAAATAAGATGAAGAAAAGAAATGGAGGTTTATCATAAGATAATTTATTGATTTTCTAAGATGAGGAGAACTGAAAAAGCAAAAAAGTTAATAAGATGTTTATCAAATTATAAAAGATGATACCATGAGGAATAGTATTACCTGCTGTCATTCGTACACTTCTCTTTTTTGTTCCTCCTCTTTCTTTGTCTTGATGATTGGCAGAACCTTCGCTGAGAGCTGTGACTAACAGTTTACGGCTAGGAGGACCCTGAAATAAATAAATGAATAGTAAATTCAATTTAGCTAATGAATATTAAAATAACATGACCAAGTTTATGGATTTGTAATGTTGTTATTAACAAGTCATTTAACTAGTTATCTTTTTCATTTATTATACCTTTCATTTTTACAAATCTCTTATTTGTGAATATAGAAAATAAGATATACAAATATAAGATAATATTTGTGAGCTAATTTACTTGGTAATATATTTTAAATTTATTTGCATTTCAACTTAAAAAATAAAGCACAACAAAAAGTAAATATTATTGTAAACCTCAATATGTGTTCTATTCTCTGATATATAGCATTCTCATTTTTGTTGATATGATAGTGATGATATTTGGAGCATTCACTTGTTTTTTAACAATTAAGTGCTATGATGTTGATGAGGTTCATTATCATTATCATCATAGCAAAAAGTAACAAAGACAAAAATGTTGATCATTCTAAGATGTAAGCTTTAAAATAACTCTTATTTTTTTTTAAGACAAAATAATTGCATTTTATGATAGTGGACTAAGTGGCTAGAAACAAGTTTGTAAAGATGGCTAAAAAAAATGTATATGTGTATTGCAAAAATATCATGTCATATGAAGAGCTTGTACTTGTCATAAAAACAGTTCAATAAGTATATGATAGAAAATATTAGTAAATTGAATGGCCAAAGTGTAGAACTTTTTTCTAGTCATTCATACACGATATGCTAAAAGCTTGTATTTATTATAATTTAACTAATTTAGATAAATTCAAGTTATAAATTTTATATACATTAAAGAAAACCAAAGACTTTTATTATGACATATATTTTGAGTATACCTTAAGAATTAATCTTTTGTGAATAATACTTTAACATGGAGGCTACGATTATTATATACAGTCTTTTCAGATAAAGTCAACCAGATCCCTTTGTGGTAGATGGATTTACATGTGGCTGATTAAACCAGCATGGAAAGGCACACTTTTCTGCAAGTAAGTTATCCGAAGAGATTTTGACTGGCAACAGAGGAAGGATTCTGTATACAATGTCTTCAACAGTGTTTCTCTGCCTGCTGAACCAACTTTGCTTCTATGGTTTAAACAATGCAGATGCTGCTGCATAGACACAAGGCTTCTAAGGTTGTTATGATAAAATACAATTCTCATTCTTAATAATTTTTGACAGGTTTTTTACCTTCAACTTTATTCCTTGCTGTAGTTTTAATTATATAGAAATAGAAGTATTTTTGTCATTATATGTTTCAAAATTAGTTTTTGACAAATTTCTTTACTTTTTGGCTGCTTTTTAACCCCAATTTTAGTATAATCCTCAATCATTAAACTGACATATGGGATGTAAGTTTAATTCTCATCAAAAGCTACAGATTTGTTCCAAATTAATTTCAAAGATTAGCTTAATAGCTAGAGAATAGATTGACAAAAAACAAAATAAAATGCAACATAAAAAAACAGTAACTAGACAAAACTAATAATAAAATATGTGTAATAATAAAAATACTTTCACAGAATCTAAAAAAACTTTAGAATTTTGTCTAGATTTTTGAATCATATCATATATTAAATATAAAAAATAATCTACATATATAAAAAGCAATATGTATCTACCCATTTTTTTGTATATATGTAACACTTTTTAAAGAATACACAAATACTACACTGATCCTCGATAGAAATATTATGAGTGACACTGGTTGTAGAGAGAATACACAGATCCTACACTCTGATCCACTGCAAAAAGCTAGGAAAGAACACAAAAGAAGCAGAAGTGCCAATTCATATCTACTGTCATTTTTGACAGGTTTTATGCTAGTAATGACAATTAAAAATGTATGTGAACTGACCTTGTTTGGAGGTAATGACCCAGGGGTTGGCACTATGGGGTTTCGTAGTTCTACCTGTCCTTTTTTGCGGCAACGTGTCACAACTGGAGCATTTTCTTCTTTGCTATCTTCACTACTCTCAGCAGCACTGGAAACCAATTCAGCGACTGGGAACAGAGGATCATTCATGGCACGGAGTTTTGGAATAATGTTAGAATGTTCTTTCTGTGAAAAGATTAAAGAAGTAGATTGAAACTGGCAACTCTTTAACAGATAAAGAGTTTTCATTTTGCGCAATTATATTCACACATTTTTTCAACAATGTTACCAAGTTTAATAAAAAATATATATGTCAACATCAGAAAATGTTGCTTCCTCTGCTTGCCTGTCCATACAAAGATCTGAATATCGACACAAACTTACATGGATGATGCTTCTCAAACAAAATTCACAAAGATTATAGAATATGCATATGATAACAAAATTAGCAGAAATTTCTATAAGCACAAAAAAAAAAAAAAATATTGCTACTATTTGAGTAAAATAACTTCTGGAATAATATTTATAATTTACCTTCTATCACAAGTTTAAATAGCAATGTTTGAGAAATTTATTTTCTATTTATACCTTAAAACAATGACATGGGAGTATCTGTCTATATTACTGAGTTGAGGTATTTATGTACACTATTTACATTACTCAGACTATTCCTTAAGGACACATGGCACAGTGGATAAAGGTGTTGGTTAGATCTAGTGACAGGACCCAAAGAGGTGTGAGTTCAGTACCTGGTTAAGGCAGTGGAGAACTTGGAGAGGGGAATTAACAGGAGATAACTGACATCCATTAGACATGGCACATAGAACTAGAACAGTCTATTCCAGCGAGTGAAATAAAGGGTTCAGTTTGATATTCCAACCACTTGAAGAAGGCTGGAGCGCACAATGGCTGAAACATTGTGATAAATATGGCAACAAAGATGAGGACAATAGTCTGAATAATGTAAATAATGACATGGGAGATATTAAGTTTTAGATTATAAAATAATCTTGCTATTGAAGTTCACTATTTTTCTATTTGAAAATTTGTCAAATTAGCAAAAGGCTTCACTAGTATGTCTTCAACTTTAAAAGTATAATATAAACTAGTTTTTTCACTCACAATTTTGGTATATTTTCATAACTTGAACCATAAAACTGAGAAATTTCAAATTCTTACATTGATGAATACAAAAATAAGTTCCTATCAAATTTCAAGTATGTAGTTTGTATAATTAACTTACACAACTTATTTAAGATCTTAAAAGCACAATTTTTTTTATTTTGCTGCATAGAATGTAATGACAAATAATGTGCTTTCTGCTAGGTTTGAGCAATGAACATTTAAATTATCAGTGAAATAGTTACCTCACTTATCTACTTCTATTTCCCAATAAGTCAACTTTTTTGAAAAGCCACTTTTGCTGACTATATAAGACTTATATTGAGACATGATTTTTCTACATTCATTGCATACATTTTTAGCTACATATTTAATTAATAATTTAATCTAATATTGAACACAAATTATAGTGACAATAGGAATCATGCACATTGTTCATAATAACTTTGACACTTATCTTCCTATAAAATGAATTTTATTGGAATGTGTTCAGATATTTATATTTTAAATAATATTTTAGACAAAAGAAGATGCAGACAGAGAAAAAACAGACTAACAACATCATTGAGGAGACTGGAAAATCATTCATGGAGACTCAGACATTTACATACTACCAAGATATATAGTTGTGCAGTGACCCTATGACCATAGACAATCATGGGACTGATGATGATTGTGGAATTAATCATTTTGTATTCAAAGTATTTAATCTCTTTAAGCAGCTGTCTTTTGATGGTCAAAGTTTCAAGAAAACATATTTAATTTTTCTTTGTATTGTTTATTTCGATGTTAAGTTTAAGTATTGTTCCTGCTGTTACCTATCAGTAACTTTTCTCAATATCTCTCAAACCTTTTGCCCTTCATTTCTGTTGCTGGGAAGCATTAGAATTATTAATACAGTTGTTAATTACCAGGTTTTTAATTAACTGATCATCATCAATTAACAGTAAAAGTGATATAAAATCAAAAAATGCAACATATTAAAAAATACACCTTAAATTTTACAGTATCATTAAAATATACAGTATCATTAAAATATTGATTTATCAAAAACTTATCAAATATCAAATACTCATTGAAAATGTTTGCAGCATGATGTGAGGAAAGTTTTCCAGTATGAATTCATCTATATAAATTGTGCAATACCAATGGCTCAATAGTAAAACAATATATTATTGTTCATATTATAATGACATTATTTTGGTAACTGATACAAAATTTAAATGTCTTTAAACATTGCAATCAAAATGATTACATTGTAGGGAGAAAAATATGGAACTTACAGCTCTTATTCGTTTTAGACATTTGTCTAGCCAATTCCGGATAGTCAACTTGGCAACTTCTTCTTCAATTGTATATTCCAATTCTTCACGGTTTAATAGTTCTTCAAGTTGTAAACTTTTACGAATATCCATTGAGCGATATGATAACATGCTGTAAAGAGATCACAATAGCCAGAAAGTAAATAGAAAGTGTTTTTATTTTTAAAACAATTTCTTTTTCAGAATTGAGCTTCACTGATAAGTTTGTAGCTTATGGTCAAAATTGTCATAAAGATAATCTACATCAGAAATAGCTTAGATTGTATAAACAGAGAAACTTCATACAAATGCTTTTATTGAATCAATAATAATGAAAGTGTTATATAAACACTGGAATAATTTAGTACCTATAATAGTATTCTATGTACTTTCTTGTATGTACAACTATTACATTTTCAACCAAGGATTGGAATATTACATGTTTGATCCCAGGCCTTGTGAACTGGAATCAGTTATACTTTCTGAATGAAAAGCCTTCATAATATGAAGTGGATAGGAATTGGAAAAAACAAAGAAAGAAAAAAAAATGACAGGAAGGAGGAAAGATGGAAAACAAGAAAGGTAGATAAAAATGTAAAGAAAACTGAGTAAAAGAATAAAGTGGACTGACCAAATGATTACAAAAAAGGTTTGTCTACGAAACTCAGGAATTGGGATGCTGAATATAACATAACATCAATCAGCTGACAAATTTTATATTTATATTAATCATATATATATATATATATATATATATATATAGAGAGAGAGAGAGAGAGAGAGGAGGGGAGGGAGAAAGATAAGTTTGCTGTTTGGATATAAAGATACAGTGAGCAAAAGAAAGGTGAGAATGCAAGGAGTAAAAAATGATATACATTTAAATTCTTTATCAAGAGATAGATCAAAGAAAGATAAAAGGAAGAATGCAGCAAGAAATATTTGTGCATTCCTTATTTCTTTTATGCAGATGTTTCTATGTTTGTACATTTATATAAAACCTTCAATGGTCAACAAAGACTACGAGCAATAAGGGAGGGAATGAAAGGATACAGGCAAGGAGTGAGAGAAGAGCAAAAGTATGAGATAATAGATAATAGTTGTCAAATCTGTTGAATTTCCACCAGTCCAGCTAGTCCTATGTTAATTACATAACAGTTCAATCAATAAAGTACTTAAATTTAAATGAGGCTCATAAACTTAATAGTATTTTATGGCTGCTTTCTACTGGTGTGAATTTGCTGGAGAGTTAAGTCTTTATCAAAGTATTATTTTATTATTGTTACCAAAGATAAAATGATTATTTTAAATTCTATTTTACATTTTCATCTTGAGTTTTAGAGCTTAATGCAGATATCTATAGACAAATGATTCTTACCTGAGGACATCATGGAACGTTACATCTCCTCCGTTATAGAGTTTCTCTATTTCATAGCACATGTGTTTAAAAAGCAGTCGATCTTTTTCTAAATCAACTTCAAGCCGACCCCGCAAAAGACGTAATAAAAATTTCACTCGTTTTGCTGGAATCACACCCTATAAAAACAAAATACCTTTTATAAGAAATCATTACAAATTTAAAGTTACTGGAGATATATCAATTGTATAATTTGGGGATGATTTCAAAGAGTTACAAAATAATTCTTAGGCTAATAAAAGTGAGAAGAATTTAGGAAGCTAGATATTATGTGCATATTCTATGACAATCATGAAAATATATACCCCCCCACCACCACCAAAAAAAAATATCTCCTGAGTCTTACATGCAAAGATGAGGTAGCTGGTAGGTTAGTGTTTACAAAGATGCCAGAGACTACCAGTACTTGTATTTAGCCTAACTATATAATACTGTCATATTAAATGTAAATGAGTCTTCTCTGCTATTAAATACACTATGTCCACTTTTGAACAGGCATATGTCCCATGTAAAATTTTCAAAAGCTGTATTGACCTTTTTTTAAAACAAATAAATCAAACATGAAAAGCATTTATAAATTTTGCAAAAAAGAGTGAAAATAAATGTCATAAATTGCTGTGAGAATGAATTTTCTAGTCAGTTTATAAGCTAATAAAAAATTCTGTTGTCAACTTAAATTTGTATTATAGATTCTCAAAGATAATGATATTAAATTATTTAAATCAAGTATATGAAATAAAACATCATCTAAAATAATAGTTTCATATAACAGCTATTTGGGGACAAAAATAGTATCAATTACTTAGTATAAGTTACCATGTGCCTCACACCTTTTATGCTGGACAAAATGTTAGTTCACTTCAAGTAAGAATAAAAGACAATTTCAAAAATAATTTTAATATTAACTTTATTGAACAACATATTTAGCATTTTATTCCACTAACTATAATTCCATCCTCTCAGAATGTTATCTTTTAATCAACTACTCTAGATGCATTCTGGCAACACTCCAGGAAATTGAAACCTTTTTTCATTAAGTAAATTCTCTAAAAACTGAAATAAATAGTAATCCAAAGGTACCTATTAAGTATGGTAGATGAGTAAAAACTTTCCAACCAACTTGTAACTACTTTTCCAGGTCACCAAAGGCACACACCATACAATGATGGAATATTACACCTTTTTCTGTTAACTAATTCTGGATGCTTTTTTGCCAATTTCTGCATTTTGGGTTTCAGTTGAGCACAGTATTTGTTCAATTTGTTCTTTAGAAACTTCTAGTAGAGAACTCCCATAAAATCCATGCATATACAAAGTATTACTATCTTTGGATGAAGACTATCCTTTGGTACAGTCAGTTCATTATTGCTTATTCCACAATCTCTTGCATTCCACATTCTTGTTAAGTATTCACTTTTCATCTCTTATCAGAATTCATATTTGAAAAAAACATTTAAATATAGTCTAGTAGTTTATTTTGTTATTTAGGTGGAAGTAACATATCAAAGTAACTAACAACCAATCTAGTGTAAATGAATCTCAGTGCTTCATTTGGATATTTTCTATATGTCAGTTACCTTCCACATCATCTAACATTGAATGTCTTGCTTCATAAAGACTAACCCACATTAGATCATTTACAGTACTTTCTCTATTAACTGCAGAAATCATTTTTTGTTTGAGTCACATTCTTAAAATTAACAAACAAAAAACAGATAATATTTCCAAAATGTTGCTGGTATTCAAGGTTAGAATCAATAAACCAAAATTTGCCAACTTTCACAAATTTAACAAAAATGTATGCTGTTATAAAAAAAGTGAGATTTTTGAATGAGATTAATTAAAAATTAATTTCATCTAATGACAAAAACATAGCAGACCTTTTGTACCATCCAATATTTTATAATTGTTAAAGTACTTATCTTTGAACTTACCTTGCGATTGATATCCACTAGATTCCAAGTATTCTGAAACTGGCGGATATCATTATAACTCAGAAGAGCATCTTCTTCATTTGAATAAAATAGAGAAAAATTTTCCATAATGATAGCTGAAAAAGCAAAGCAAAATGAAACAATATACCTAAAGTTAGACTATATAATTATTTCTCAACAATAAAAAGATATAAAATTAATGACAATTCCAAATAAACATTATTAATGATAATTGTAGTTGTAAAAACCAAAGATTATTATAAACTAGCAGTAGAGCCCGGCGTTGCTCGGGGATGTAACAGTAAGAGATAGATCAAGTATCCACCATCATAAAGACTGAAAAATAAAATTAACAAAGATTATTGTTTAAGGTTGATGGACACGCATGTCTGAATTAGTTTTTTTTTGGTTTTTTTTTTTTACGAATTGGTCAAACCCAAACATTGTTTTCAATCGTTATGAGTCTACCGATTGAATAGAATTTTATTATAAACAATTGTCTTGTAAATGGAATTTTTAAAGCATTCTGAATGTAAAAATAAAGAAAAAAGTGTGCAAGACAATAAGAAACACTACCTGCCAAAAAAAAGTGAAGTTTTGTTGAAATCGGTTGAAAAATAGGAAATCCGATCCCATATATAAACGAACACACACACACACACAAACAACCAACCTGGGTTTTATAATAAGTATAACTCGATATTAATAAGTATAACTCGATATGAGTTGTACCCCTTTCATTAATGCCTCTTAATTGTGTTTTCAAATTGATTTCGTGCAAAAACAATTGTGTTTTTCCAATTTTTGGCGCTGTCAGAACCACCGTAAGGTAATTTTACGTAGTCCTGTGAAGTTTTGTTGAAATCGGTTGAAAAATGTAGGAAATCCGATCCAATATATAAACGTACACACACACACAATCTGCGTTTTATAATAAGTAAGATGATTGTATGGAAGATATTTTGATTAAATATAAAATTGCTTAAATTTACACATTTTTATATTAAATTAGAAAAAATAAATATCTAAATATTTAATAATGTTTTTTCTTTGATATTAAAAATTTTAAGATGCTATTATAAGTCATATACTATTTATTTTTTTTTTATTTTCTCCTTGTGAAAGTACTGTATAAAATAATTTATAAATTGGCTTTTTAAGCATAAAAAATTGTGTTCACTTGACAGCCTAATGGAAGGTATGCTGCCTTAATTTGAGTGATTGATCCATTTAGAGACTTTCAACTTAAATTTTTAACACCACAGTATCTTAAGAGCTGACTTGTATACCCGCATCTACAAAAACTTTTTAAATATTATAAGTAAAATTGGGTAATTTATCAAGCAAAAAGTGTAACATAAACAGTGCTGAATAAATGTAAATATAGTGTAAGAATAATAAGACTTCAAAATAGTCTTAATCTCTGTATGTTTATTTATAATCTTGTACACTTAAATTTATTTGCATTTTGAAACTTTTCATCATAAATTATTAGGTATAATTTTCTGTTGAATTATCATTCAACATAAAGAAAGGGCAGTTTAAAACAATGCTTTTCAGAGTTATAAGTTACAATTCACCCTTTACAGAAATAGATTTTCTCAATTTCTCTCCCAATCTGTCATTTAGTAATTTTTTTCATCTTTCTATCTATAAGTTATACATATAAGTAACATATCGCTACTTAAATTTAAATTTAAAATTCTTCCCTTGGAAGTTAAGTACCTCCAGTTTGAGAAAGTCCAGAAGAAAATGATCTTCCCCATAAAATTGTTTTACTTATTAAATAATAGCTGCATGCCAGCAGTAAATTTAATATGTAAATCAGTTTACTTACCAACTAATAAATTTAATACAATATATGTGATGATGATATAGAATGAACAAAAATACATTAGTGAAGCCATGAAGTTTCCACAGTCCGTTTCCCAACCATTTTCTTTTCTTGTACAAAATGGAGGACTAACCTATACAAAAGAAGAAAGTAATAAGGATGACTGGTTACACATCTTTATAAATAAAAGTCTGTATTTAAATATCTTGTGGTAGAACCCAAATCTAAAACGTTGCAAGTTAGAAATGTATAACTTGAAACAAATAAAGGCTTATTAACGTTTTATTAGTTTTTCTTTTATCTTATTTATTTATTGTGATGTTTAGGTTGTTTTTTAAGTTCTATGACCATTAAGCAAGCAGAATGAATTGGAAAATAAAGAATTAGCAACCAACAGGATTTGAACTTTTATTTTTTATCCCTTGACAAACTATCTTATATGTCTGATTTTATTATGCAAGTCAATGTTTTCAATATAAAAGTGGTATTAAACAATTGAAGTTGGATATATTTTTATGAACAATATATCATATTAGTTTCAGATTATAATATCAATCATTATCAAAAAATATTGTTAATAGCTTGTTTCAGGGAGGTTGTTAGTTTTTATTATGCAAGCAAATTGAAATAAATCCATAGAAACAAAACATATTTGATGAACACAATATCCCATATACCTAAATAAATTATTATTTTATATGCTAATATACATACACTCCTTGTCATTCTATAGCCTTCATCAGTCTTTCAACAATTCTTTTTGTTAATTTTTCTGCTCTTTTGACTTTAAATTTTTAAGGTAGGTTTGATTGTTCCCCAGAGGTTTTCTTTGGACATTATTTTCTATGCTCATATACCTCTCTTTTAATGGTAGAATACCAATTCTCTATTAGATTAATATCTGAAAAGACTGGGAACCATTCCATTAATCTAGTGTCTCCAAAAATTTTGTGGGGAAGTTAGGTATAGTCATCTCTGCAGAATGTGAAGTAGCATTGCCTTCAACATCTGTCTATATTTCTGAGATGAGCTATTGTAACTATTTACATTGTTTGGACTCTTGTCCTAATCTTTACTGCTACATTCATGCTCAGTGGATAAAAGCATTGGTTGATTGATGCAAAAAGTGACTTGACCCAAAAAGTTGTGAGTTCAATCCCTAGCCTCAATGGAAATAACAAAAACTTAGAGAATTATCAAGGCAAATTAACTAAAACTGAGATATCCAAAGACATGGTACATGGAATTAGAACAATCTACCCCTATAGACTAAATAAAGTGTTCGGTCCAAAATTCCAACAAATATCACCTGAAGAAGGCCAGAGTGTACAATGACCAAAACATTGTGAATGCGACAGTAAAGATGAGGCCAACAGTTCCAACAATGTATATACCGAAAATAGTATTGCCTTGTAAAAAACATCTTGGTTATGATTTGTACAACTCAAAAAACTTACAATAATTCTCTGCACTTATCTTGATGCCATCATCAAATATGAAGATCTATAATTTTACTGCCCTCACTCAACACTAGCTCAAAATATTACTCCCCTGCTTCCCTTTAAAATGTGTTGGAGGACTATTTCCATGAAGGGTTCAATCTGTAGCCCAGCCATCTAGCTCTACATTTATGACTAAAAATTACTGTTGAGAAAATAGTATCTTCATTTTCCAATCAATGCTGCTTACTTAATTGTCAATGCATATAAAAATGACCTGGACATTGCAATAAAAAGCAGACAAAAATAAAATAAAATAAAAATAAGTAAAAAAAAATAAGGTTTCATCTAAGAAATTCAGACTATTAATCAATAAGAATGCAAAAATTGAGATTTTCATATAATTAGATCATTTGCAAATCAGAATTTCAAGTGGCACAAGTTTTCCTAAAATTTATTTAAAAATTGTGTGCGTTTTTTGCTTATAAAATCTCAACAGACACAAATGTTTTATGTTGCATTGCGTGTGTTTACTTTTAGTATACAATTTTTGTATTTGTTTTTTAATAATATTTTTAGAAAGGTAAAAGTATTTAATAAAGTAGATAAAAATACTCAGTAATTTATAATGCAATGTAAAGTATTTAAGCTTTAAAAACAAATTCTTACAAATTTATGAGAAAATTGATAAAAAAATATTTAGCCAGCTAATTATGGAAAGTATCTAGTCAAATTTTTCAGAAAAATATATTAACAAGAGAAAGACAAAAATAAGAATGCTGCTTACCATACAATCATGCATGATTTTATTCCAATCCTCTCCAGTAACAATACGGAACAACAAAGCAATGGCATTAGGAGCTGTCTTGAAATTTGCATGTCTACAAAACAAAATTTATTTCATTAATATACAAAGATAATCTTTGTCAATTCAGAAAATCTCAGGTAGAAATTTTATTAGCTACCACAAAAATATTCAGTACATGTAAAGATTTTAATTTCAATCAAGTATAGGTTAATTTAAAATTCTATCACTTGACAATAAATTGCCATATTTGATGACATATAAGAACTCCCTTTTCCCCATTTATATTCACTATTACAGTATTATGAAGTTAGGCGAGGTAAACATTAGATAACTCAACTGCACATATAGGGCTAGGAAGATATTTTTCGAGATATCTCATTTTCTTCCTTTTTTAAGAAAAAAGTTTGGAGTTTTAAATGCCATCAAATACAGTACTTAAAAGAATTAAGCAGGTAATTCTTTTCAAGTATAGTTTAACAGATTTTTAAGTAATATTTTCATTTCATTAATTCTATTAAATCATCATGTCCAAAAACCTATATTGCTATAAGGCGTGAAATATTTTATGAAATGGAACTATGAATTGGTTCAGATCAAGGAATCAAGTTCAAATTTTGATAGCATCATGGTGGCATTGATCTAATTAACTATAAGGTTTGTCCAACTGTCAGGTCACTGGATTGCTACCATAAACAAGGGAAAAAAAACAAGTGTGGCAGTCCATAGGTATCCTACTTTCATTGTAATTAAATTTTAAAGGAAAAAATAAGCAGCAATACCTTCTGTAGCCAATGTCTGTTATGATAGTAATTAATATAGTTTCATGGAACTTCATAGTAACTTTTTAAAGTGAAATAAAGAAATCATCTTGAACTACTAACTCAACAAGTACTCAATATGCAATCTAAATTATCTCAGACTAGATAGAGTTTAGATCTCTTGGCCATATGGATTAAATAAATAAACAAATTAGATATGAGCTAATGAACAACTTGTATTCAAAAGTGTATTGGGAAATTCTACTGAAGCTCAAATAAGAATAGAAAATTGAGAAATTTTACAATTTAAAATATTCTGTGTGAAGGTATATCTACTTCAAATATAAAATTTTAAAATATTCTGTTAACATTCTTCAAAACAAATATAGCTTCAATCAGTAGTAAACTTTGTAATAAAAGACGAAATTGAAACTTACCTTCCTAAATTGTATCCATATTTAACATTTCCAAAGAGTATGACACCAGCATAAGCATAAAATAACATCAACAAGAACATTCCAGTGATGATGAAAAAACTCTTTAAAACAGACATTACTACGGTTTGCATCAACATGGTGAGAGTGGCCTAAAATAAGACCAAAGCATGCAAGATATTAAAAAAAGAAGGAATATGACCAAACAGCAAATTACAAATCATTACAAGACATTTTTATTAACATAGATTGTCATTTTCAGCCAAAACACATTAAAGATGGTTTTCAATTACAAAATTTTTTACCCATGATAACAATAATGAAGAATAAAGTAATAAAGTAAAACCTTTGTTATAAACAAAAGTTAAATTTTACCACATTTTAATCAGTCATCTCTGATTTTCTTGAAGTGTTTACATATCTATGTATATATAAGAAAATAAATTATTGATTGATATTCACTTTAATATTTTGGTCATAACAGTTTTCTTACAAAACATCTAATTAGCCCCTAAAGTTTGAGAAAAATCATAAAATAAACAGTTATAAATATAAGTTAATAAAAATAATCCAAACATAATAAAAACTATTTTTAGTAAATTTTTGTATGATGTAATGAAGACTTAATAAGCATTAACCTTAATAATTGCTTGGATTTCATATATAATTTTAAGTTGAATTTTATTATTCAAGAATAGGTTCCTCATAAATAGGAACAGATCTGGAAGAATCCTATCTGCTAACTTCTAGTCTAATCATGAGCAAAATTGGAGAGATAATTCAAAATTGCCAAAACAAAGAAAGGACATTTAGTTGATAGTTCTTCTTAAGAATCATCAATTGTTTTTAGTATTGTATTAATGTACAAACATTTAATATTTGTGCTTTTAGGTATATAACATGCCAAAATAAAGGCACAAATTACTGAATAGATATATCTTAAATATTTCCGAATTAATTTACAGTCTAAACAATCATCTTATTAAATGCTAACATTTCTATTGAAGACTTTCATACTGGAAATTAATATTGTTCTTAAATAATGAATATACACTCTACATTCCCAAATAATTGTCTTATTTACTGCAATATTGTGATAAACTTACATTACTTTCTACATTTTTTAATATGTATTTTACATTACTGTAAACAGTAGACAGCTCAAACAATTATCTCTCTGCAGTGTCCTGTTTCTACAACTTGTAAAAATTTGCAATAAGTACAGTAAGGTACTTACATGTTTTCCTGTGATTGTGAAGAACCTCAATACAATGATCACATAGCCATAAGTATTGCTGCCAGAATTCTGAAGTAAATTATACACATATATATTAAAAGATTAAACAAGCAATATTTTGAAACATTTTTAATAACAAATGTTTTTTGTCAAAAGCTGATACTATTGTTTAGGCACTTCTTATCCAAACATATAATAGTAATAATACATATTTTCAAAAATGCAAGCAGAAATTTAGATATTGCTAATGTACTCACTCTGACAGTAAAGTGTAGAAAAATCCAGATGACACCAAGGAATGTAACCAACATGTCAAAACGGTTACGATGACTTGTCCAGTATCCAGCTGGTGTCAAGGCTATCATCTTCATAATGACCTGTAATTAAAAGTATAATAATCAGTACACATCAAATTTAATGTTTCAGTATATTATTAAAGAGATATATTAAAAAATGTGTTAAGAAAATGTGGTACTGAGATAAAAGGTTAAAACAATTGTCTATTGATTTCTTAACTTATATTACTATATTGAAGTGAGTGCATGTGAATGTTCAGACATCAAAACCAATTGTAAAGTCTCTGGGACCCAGCCTGTTTGCATGGATAACCCAAAAAGTCTCAAGTAATAACATATATGAGGTTAGCTTCAAAGGTTATTCAAGGTCACCTGAGATTATTAAAGAGAACTGCATGCTATTGGGTTGAAGCAAAAAGTTCTTCGTATTTTTCAATAGGTGGTAATCAAATGAGTAATTTTGTTTCACATGTAACAGATATTTATAACATATATACATATTCTGAAAGATAACATCTCAATATATCTTTCTATATGATTCATGTGTGGATTATTAATTTTAAATGTTTTTATGTTAAAAGTGAATATAGAGAAAAATGTGATGCATTTTAATTTCACAAAGGAAAAAACACTGTACAAATAGCAAAAAGACATGTGCCAGCTATAGATATGATGCCATAGCTGAGAAGACAGTTTGTAAGCTGTTCGTTAGGTTCAGAAGTGGAAATTTTGACCTGGAAGACCAAGACTGCTTTTGCAGGCATGAAATCATTGAAGACTAAATCAAAATGCCAATGAAAATAATCCAGGACATATGACATAGAACAGAAATATCCTACATATCACATATAAGTGCTGTAAAACATTTGAAAAGACTTGGATACATGAATTACTACAATGTTTGGGTGCCTTATGATTTAATGGAAAAAATTTAAATGGACCAAATTTCCATCTGTGATTCTCTGCTCAAATGCAACAAAAATGATTCATTTTGCAAAGAACAATTATAGGCAATGAAAAATGGATCGTTTACAACAATGTGGAGCAAAAAAGGTTCTGAGGAAAATTAAATGAGTCTCCATAACTACTTCAAAAACTAGTTTGCATCCAAAGTGATGCTGTATATCTGGTAGGATTGGAAGTGTATTGTGTACTACGAACTCCTTTCATAAAATCAGACATTGAATTCAGACAAGTTCTGTCTCCAGTTGGACCAATTAAAAGCAACAATCGTTGAAAAATATCTGGAACTGGCTAATTTAGAATTAAAGTAGGATTACTAACTTAAAAATCAAAATTATATGAAAATAATTTACCTCACACAGAAAGAGTATTGTAAACACTGCAGATATGCTTGCTAACACAAATGTCTGTTCATCATTTTTTAACCACTGAAAGATAGAATGTTTATTTTTTAAATTAAGACTAAATAATAAAATAATATCAAAGCAATAAAGTACATATACAGAACAACATTTTGCATTTATTCTCAAGGCAAACTGTATAATTTTGAATTTCTCTTATAGTGAAAATATAAATAAACAGCATAATATTACAAAATCAACAAAGTAATATAATTATAAGGAAACTGAAATGGTTGATAAAATGAAAAGTTTACTAATTAGTTACTTTATTCCATTTGTCCTTTGACTATTAAGAAGAATTAACATTTATGATATGGAATTTTTAAAATATTTTACTGTAATATATCTAAATTAAAATGAATATAAAATCAGACTCTTTACTGGAAAATATGCTCCAAAAATAAGGTTAATTTCTTAAAAATGAAAACTTACAATGGAAAAATTAAACCATCACGAGGCAGCCACTGGGTGATAACTCAAGAGAAATTTCTTTCTCTTGTGTCCTTTTGCTTTGGCAGTGAACTGGATAGTGACTCATGACAATTTATATGCAATGAAGAATGTAGCAAAAAGAATGATTGTCTTTGAGAACTTGATGTGATGACAGACACTGATGTTAATAGTACATAGGATCCCCATGGAAAAAGCAACATTTTTCACTAAAATTCCAACTGGGGATAAAATGATTTTAAAAATAACTCAATCTAGAGTGGTTAAATGCTAACCAAATTTGTTTTTATATAAGAGACTACTTACTGGCACACACAAGAGACTGCAATTAGCCAAGACTAAAAATGCGACAGCTCTCTTGAAGGAGATGTGCTGGGTAATGTCATACATTAAAGCACGAAAACCATTGCCATCTATAAGAAAAAAAATAATCAACATATACCTAATAAAAAATTACATCTTTCTTTTATTATTTTATTATTAAAGACAATATTTTGAAAGTATGAATACTGATTATAATAAAATCATCTAAACAGCTGTTTATTAAATAAATAAAATTTTAAATTTATATTTTGTTCTTTCACAAATTAATTTCAACAAATGTAATTCCTTCTATGAGCAATTATAATTTACTGAAATAGACTTTGCCAGAATTCTTTAAAAATGAATTGTAAATTGGTGCATGTAGACTGTTCAGTAAGTTATTATCATCAAATCTTACAAGAAGTGAACATTCATATGATTATGAAAATGTTTTATAAGATAAAAATCACAAAATAATAAAAGAAATTTAATTTTTTTCTTTTCCAGGTACCAAGAAGATTTTAAAAGTCAAATTTCATAAATTTTTTTTTTTTTTAAATTCAGAACAGGATTAAAATTTTGCTAACAGTTTCAAAGCAAGTATAACAAAAACAATAATCCTCAAAATATATACCAAAAAACTGCATTACAAAAGTATAAAAGAATTTTAAAGAAATATGCAAAATTTAGTATTAGTAAAAAGAATATTTTTCTAAAACTAAATATATTCTAAAAATAAAATTATAAAAATAGAAAATATTTAATTTAAGGAAATGCTACTCCACTATCCTTAGCTTAGAAAATAGATTCTTAGAAACTATTTTTTTTGTTTTAACAACTGGATCAACTTTTGTAAATGGAATAAAAAACAGACTTAAGATTACCTAAGATTTGCAAGGCAGCCTTGACTTGCTGATGTAAGAGAGCTGGTTACTTGAAACATTGAGTCAAAGTGATCAACAATTGATTTAAGGAAAAATGGTTAATATTTAACTTTATTTTGCAACCATCTATTTGTTAATAATGGATACAAGTAATTACTCAATTCATGGAAGAGAAGAAGCTATGAGTATGGACAGCAAAGTTTAATTTTAACGTTATCCTTTTCCCTCTAGTTTAAGAAGTGCAGGCTGTTTCCGAGAAAAAATGTCCATTGTTATGTCACCAATACAAATGGTGAAACAAGAAACTTGTATTAGAGAATACGAGTTTTAAAACGTATTTCTCTAGTTCACATCAGGGTTTACATTCAAATGCATACATTTATGTAAGTATATTCTTTTGTATGCATATAGTTACAATTTATCTTAGATTTTTGAGAGTACTCATTTTTATGGCTAGATGTACTTATTGTTCCACAATTTGAGTTTTATAATCAATATTGTAAATTTGTGTCATGATAGAAAAGTGGGATATTAGACTTTGCTAAAGAGTAATTTGGGCATATGTAAATGATATAACATTCATTTCTTTTTAAGTATTTCATGCAATGAGACAAAATATAAACATGAAATTCAGAAATAAAGGAATAAACTTCAACATGTTCATTTAAAAGGATGTCTTTACCTGGTCTAGGAGGAATGTGTAAAGGCTGGGCCAGCTTAATTCTGCCTTTCAGATCAAGCCAACGTCTCTGATCAACAGTAAGCAAAGCGGTTCCCTGCAAATGACAACAATGTTATAATTAGGATGCTTGCTTATACAAAGACAATACATTTCTGGAATCACAATGTTACATGAATCAACAAGGCTTGTGAATTTGTCCTTTTTAGTAGCATGACAACTACGAAATGGTGTTGAAAAGTTTATAACCTGACCAAGAAGTCTTTTCTAAAAAGAAAAAAAAAAAAAAAACATCTGATATACTTTAATTTATTTAAACTTTTGTTCTCATCTAACTATGGGCACATGAAGATAACCAGAGAGTAACATTGTGTCTATAATAATATCTATAATAATCAAGATGAGAACAATAGTTTGAATAAATTAAAGTATATTGACAATTCCTCATCTCAAAAAATGAAATACAAAAGAAATCTGATGTTTAGTCATTTGATCAGGTTTTGGAAAGTGAGTTGAGCTGATAATTTTTCAGCATCTCCTTCACGGTGATGTTTTATAAAGAGATGAACAACTTCATTTTTAATCAAAGGTGACTTTGATGGATGAAAATCTCAAGTGGTTAAAAAAAAGAACAAGATTTAGGCTACAGCTATAACATTGTTATTCAAAAACTAATACAGCAAGACTAAATGTGAGTTTGAAAAATAGCAACAAAACTCAGAAAATTTGAGAGTCACTTTTTCCATGCAATTTCATTATTTATACTGTCATTCTTCAATCTCTTTGAAAACACTTGACATTTAAAATTTGGAAAACAGGACAATATTCAATATTTATATTTCTTTTAACATTTTAAACTTAACTACAAAAGATGTACATGTACATATGCATCTAAATAAAAGTAAATAGCTAACAGTAAGACTAGAGCCCACTGCTGGATAAGCTAAGTCCATTCTATATTTATCAAATTAGCCATTTGCTGCTTAAAATCCCTGATACTTTCATTACTTGTGTACTATTTTCCATTTGGATTGGGTTTTAAGTAGTGATATCAATATTTTTACTGATTTTGATACACTTCCTGATACTGTTCTAAATTTCCAATTCCGATACAGTTTCCGATTCAGATTCTGATACCTACAATGATTAAAATTAATTATTTTCAGGTCCTACAGTTGGTTTGGGAAACTTAATGAAAAAAGTACATTTATTAATAAAACATTTAGTAGAAAAATGAATACAAAAGCTTATGAAATAAAGTTAGATATCCTTTTTATTTAAAAATTTGGGTAAAAGTTTAAACAATAAAGAGAACAATTTCTTTACATAAATCACTTAAGTACCTAGGTACAGTTGATATATTGCTTTACTTTGGTTATCATCAGAAATCTTAAAAAACTTCCAAACTATACTTTTCTGATTGGCAATGGATACACTTGTCATGATTGGGGTGCGATAATAATAAACATTGGTTAAAATTTAAATTTTTCACTGTTAGATAAAAATGTTTCTAGTTTTCTAATGTGTATAATTTGTAAAGATTCAACTAATAATGGTTTGCTATTAATTGTAAAAAAAAAAAAAAGGGTCTATTTTTTGTCCCCCTTTTAAGTTTTAACAAGCAAAGGTGCCCTCTAAATGTTATGCAATCCCCTTAAAATTTTCTATGTGGTATTTTTCAATGAATGGAACAAATTTAGGAGTGACAATTCAATTTCAGCATGCACATCAAAAATAAGACACCCTAACATATATAATATTGCAACAATAATACTCTAAGCAGAAAGGCATCATCCTATGTATTATGGTCTAACTCATGCATATATTTTGATAAAGTACAAGGTGTACCTAATACTGCAAAACAATGAATAAAAATTAAAAGCAAATTTTAAATTTGCTTACAGACATTTAATAAGAATTAAATATGAATTATCACAGCAACTTAAATAATAAAGGGTCTTCAATCTCATCTGAAAAATTTAATCACTAATAAGTTTTACTATATAAAATAAATTTTTCACAACTAAAAAATTTAATAATTTCTAAAAAGAATCAAAAAGTATTTTATCTTTGTTAAAAGAAAAAAGAGTGAAAGGCAAATACGCAGTAAAAACATATCCCTTGATTTTTTTAAAGAGATATAAGCAATTTTAGCAAACTTTACAATATTTTTTTTAAAAATATTAGGAAGTTGAAAGCTAATACATAATGCTGATATCTAACTTGATCATTTTATAAGATATGAGATTCAACTGTTACAAAGTATTAAAATAAAAATAAGATTAAAAATGATTAAAATCTTCATAAGGATGAGAACAACTATGTATTTTTTATATGGGATTAATTTTTTTCAGTTATTTATTAGAAGATGAAATTTTACTAGTTTTATTTTTAAAATATGAAAACAAATCATGTTAAAAGTGGAAAAAAGCTAAGGGTTAATCACGCCAGATAAAAATGGGATAAAAATACGTGTTTTTAACTTTTTTTTTATACACTTCTACTTATAAAACTTGCATTTCAGTTGGCCCTGAGGAGGAATAAATGAGAAAAAAAAATCCCAAATATTCTAAATGCCATAATAATTTAACAGAGGAAAATTCAATTATGCCAAAAAAAGAATATTAGTAAATAAAATTAAATACAAGTTTTGATGGAAATTAAATTTTAGGTTTTTTAATACAAACTTTTGTGTGAAAAGCATTTTTTCAGGAAACTTCAAATAAAAGTTTCTTTATTTTTTAAGTAAATAAAAGATGAAAATCTGTTTTGAAAGCTATAGAATTTTAAGAAATACATGAATTTTCTAGAAACAAATTTAAGTTTCATAAAAAGAATGTTTGATTTTTTTAGGTCTTGGTTATTGAAAAGATTTATTTTGTTTACATAGTATGCTACATAAACAAAAACTGATCTTTTAAATAACCAAGACTAAATTTTATGGATTAAAACTATTATAAAAACAAATTGTTTAATTTAACTGCCAAGGTCACATTTTTATGTGAAGAAATTAAATGTGACATTGGCAGGAATTCCATACATTCATTTTATTTTATTTTTTTTTATAGAGTAAAAAAAAATATAAAAATCAGCAGAACAACAACATGAATTCATTTAGTGTTTATATTACATAATTTTGATTATAATTATTAAATTAATAATTTACAATATTAAATGAGTGAATTACCAATGTCTAAAAAGAAATTAAAAATAAAAATTTTATTTTGAACAGAAAGACTTTAAACTAGCAAACTTTATGGAAAGTTCGAGAAATGAGCAGAAATTTGCCCATTTTTTTTTTTTTTTTTTTTTTTTACACAAGTAAAATAAATTTACATCATACTTAACTTAGGTGTTATTATGATCTATAGATTTTAGTTTTTCTGATAATTTAAAATCAATAAATATTTATATCTTTTTATCATTAGTGTGAGGAATGGAAAATTAAGTTTTAAAAAAAAATTCAAAGAATTGTTTTTGGAACCAGAAATTAGGTTAAAAATTCTCTGATTCCAATATTTCTAATTCTCAATTCCAATTAATTGTCTCATCACTAGTTCTAAGGCTTTCTACAAATGTATGAGGGTGGGATGAAAAATTCATAGGCTGACTATGAAGGAATGATGCTGTGAAATCTTGCAAGCATTAATTTCAACTCTTTTTAGTTTCTTTCAGGTAAACTGACATCTGATTGGTCAAAGAAGACTTTCAAAAGTAACTAGTAGCAAATTCTTTTGAAAATTAACAAAATTTGGAATTATGGTATTATCAAGTACCTGCAGAATAAGGGTTTAACTCCTAAGGACATTCATGCTGACATGGTTGCTACATTAAGAGTTGATGCTCCAGCTTTATCAACAGTACAAAAGTGGACAGCTGAATTTAAGAGGGAATGGCAGAGACTTGAATATGAACCAAGGTCTGGACATTCTGTGACTGCCACCACCAAGGGAAACATTTATCATATTCACCACATGGGGATCAATGACAAGCGATTAACTATAAATAATAGACAATGTGATTAGCATATCCTGTGAGAGAGTTGAGAATATTCTTGGCATGACAATGGTTTCTGCTCGGTGGGTTCCACATCTTCTGACACTTGATCACAAGTGCACCAGGCTGATCACATCACAGGAAAATCTGACATTGAAGCAAATCCAGCCGGTTTCCTTGAAAGTTTCCAAACCCAGGATGAGTGCTGGGTTCATCACTATGAGCTAGAGATAATCCATGCAGTGGAAACACCCCATCTCACCTGTTCCAAAGAAGGCCAAGGTTGTTTCATCTGCATGGAAGGTGACGGCCTCAGATTTTTGGGATGCAAAAGGCATTGTGCTTATTGACTATCTTCAAAAGGCCACACCATCAATGGAGGCAGTTACAAAAGGCTATCAAGACTATACACCCAAGAAAACTGATGAAAAGGGTCTTGTTTTATCAAGACAATGTTCCAGCACCCAAGTTCTTGGTTTCAATGGCTGTTGTTTGTGACTGTGGTTTTGAACTGGTTGATCACCCTCCCTATTGCCCTTATTTGGACCCATCTGACTATCATCTATTCCCTAACATGAAAAGACACTTGCCTGGGAACACAGTGATAACGATGTCATATCTGCTGTTGATGACTTTTTGAACAACAGGATGAAAGTTTCTTCACCAGTGGGATCCATGCATACTGCAACATTGATGGAAGAAGTGTGTCGACTACTATGTTGAAAAATAAACCTCATTTGGTCACACCTCATGAGAATATCTTGGTCAGCCTATGAACTTTTCAGCCAACACTTATACAAAAAGAATTCTTTTTTCAATATTATGAATTTTTTATCATATGGTATTATTAAGAATTGAAAATGAGATTATTTAACATCTTGCTTGTATGTATAATGAAGACAATACTTACCTTGTTTTCACTGTAGTTTGCAATGACAACACCAACAAAGAGTGTAAGTCCAATCATGTAGCCAATGAATACAAACACGTGAATGTAAATTGCATGGACCTGCAAAAATTTTAAATTAAAATCAATTTAAGAAGAACAACCATAGATTTTATAGTAATCTATTCTATAACAGTGTGATTTTACATATTTATTAGCCACATAATGAGATATTCTATTATGGTAAAAGGTGGCACTGAAACCAATAAATGAACATAGCAGGAGAATATCTCATTAGTAAGTAGAATAGAACAAGCTGCTAATACATTGCTTTATATTTCTTTTTTGTGATAATTTTCTTCGAATATTTTTTACTTTTAATAATTTAAAGAGCAAAATTCTTTTTTACATGCAACAATATAATTAATTGTTTAAATAAAAATCCTAGATTATATCTGCAGAAAATATAATTAATCCAGTTGCAAAAATATTTAAATATTGCTGTCATCTTTTGATAGTATAGATAAACTTCAAGTTTCTTGGAATATTTCACAGAAGTACAATTATTTTACATATTGTATTTCCTGGCATTAAGGATACACTCCAATTTTAACTTGTAATATTTTGGAAAAAAAGTAAAAAATAAAAAATTAACCTTCAGCTTGTAGGGCACCAGTAAATTCTTTAGAGTATTTGAGAAAATAGCATCTTTGATGTTGGGAAATAGTGTATTTATAAGTATTTGCATTGTGTATGTTCTTAAATTCAAGAAAAAGAACTGAATATCATTAATTCTATAATTAATAGAAACAAATTTGAGATCTTACCCAGCCCACTTGTTCGACAATAACATCCCTGATTTCTAGCCAGCCTTCAAGAGATAAAACTTCAAACAAAGCTAACAATGCATTGCCAATACTGTCAAAATTGAAGTTCCTAGGATTTGCCCTGAAATTAATTAAAAAGACAGAATAGAAAAAAGAATCAAGAATATCATGCTTCTTGAATTAATAGATGAATGTGTCTGACTTTTTCTCTTTTGAAAAAGATAAAAAACAAACATAATTTTTATAAAGTTTGCAGAATAAATTTCAATCTTATATTTTTTTGTTTGGTTTTTTAATCTTACTGTATAACACTTGAGTAAAATACACAGTTAATTTATTAAATAAATTAAAACCATATTTCTTAGAATATTAAATAAAAATAATATTTTAAAGGAAGTCTCATACCAAACTCAGTAGAAAACACTGCTATCATTTAAAGCAATCTTTTGTAAAGTAATAATTTCCACAAGTAATTTTAAATAACTGGTATTTAAACTTTATGTGTATCAATAAAAGATTATTCCTTTCTAATGAGATTAAAAAAAGTACAAGTTTAGAATGAATCATAAATGCTCAGAGCTAATGATTAAAACACAATTAATGCTGGTAATAGATGGACAGGAGATATTTTAATAGAATTAGATTTTATTATGTTATTTGGATCCCAATATACTTTTCTTTCATATTTCTAAGGGATGATGAACTGTTTCATAAAAAATTGACACAAAAACAGATATTTAAATATATCAGAAAAGCATATTCAGCTTTTATTAAATTGTTCTAACTTCAGGCAGGTAGCCAACAAAAGTAGCCTAGTGACCAAGATCTGTTTCTCAAACAGTGCTTCTGCATTGCACTAAGAGAAGATTGTGGAAAGGCTGTGGAAACTAGGTATTTTTAACAATTACTCACACCAAAAGAAACTTTTAGTAGTATTTTCCATCCACAAGTAAACAAAATAAATACTATAATATAAACAGGTTGTGCAACAGCTAGTGAGCAGATAATTGTTGTAATAGTAGTAGTAGAAAAACACAACTCATTGTTCTATGGTTGATAGTGTAGAATAGCAATTCTTGTTTTATTGAGAAAATGGAAATAAAATGAAGTCAAAGTACTAGGTTTCCTTATTTCAAGTTGTCTGACTACAATTTGCAATTGCATGGAAATACAAGGACATGTACAAACACAAATAATCATTCTGCAAATACTTATTGGTTATTTTTATATATCCACATCAGTACCTGGAAACATATCCTTAGTCATGTGATTCTGTGAAATGTCATGTTCTCTTTTAATTATGCTGTATTACCAAATATGAAAGATGTTATCTATAATATATTACTGAACATATTACATAAATTATTGGGTTAATTTTACCACTCATTCTCACAATATTAAAAAAACTTAATTTTTATTTAATATCAGAAACAAATTCTTGTCATTACATTTTTTTTTACAGAAAAAATTTCATTTATACCTTTTTTTGCTTTCTTACTAAAACACATTAGTATAAATATATTTATTCTATTTTAAAAAAAGTTAATCAAAACTATGTGTGCATAAAACCAACTCAGAAATTGTATGCATGAAGAAATACAAGAAAATTTCTTACCATACTCTTGGTACTAAGTAGGTTGGTCTTATATCTTCATCATCAGCAATTTTCATCTTGGTAACATAAACTTGAGTCATAAACACTCCTGTACAATTTTTCTTTTGAAAATAAAATACAAATATATAATTAGAAAAAAGAAACTCTAAAAAATATTAAATATTTTATAAGTTAATTTTTAATAATTAAATTTTTCAGTGGAAATATTAAGTATTTGTGCTTTGATATATTCTTGCTTGATCATTTATCAATACTAAATTTAATGCCAAATTTATTATTTTTAATGTTTATTCAAATATGTAAACTTTAATTTAAAATCAATGAATGACTATGTCTGCTGCTTTTCTGAAATTTAGTGGAATTTAGAGAAATTTAAGAAACTTGGGCAATACCGAAATCATTAAATATAATAACTGAGTTTTGGTCTTATATTTTTTTCTTTTTGGGGAGAAAGTAATTGAATATGTTTCAAATATTTGGAATAATTTGGCAATATATCAATAATACAATTAAGGAATTTTGGAAAAGAAACAGACATACATTTATTCTTATATCAAAGAATTGAAATCTAAAACAACTTTAGATCATATTGAAAAAATAGACAATATTAACTATAAATGACAAATAAACATCACTCATCAGATATTTTATTACTGCTAAAATATAAACTAATAAGCAGCATTTTTCAAAAGTGAATATTCACAAAATGGTTATGCCAATTTATCTCTCTCTCTTTAGATATATACATATATATCACAAAAATAGAAGAGAAGTTGACAAACTGAAGAATGCTGATAGCAAGGAAATTTAAACATAAGATGAAGTAAATAATGATACATTTCAAGAAAGTGAACATCTGTAACATAGTTGTGGATAAATATACATTGTCCATTCTGTGGGATCTTACTGATGGGTAATTTAATAACTGCTGTTACAAGGGTAAATATTTGTTAGAGCATCAACTGGATTTCCCTAAATACTTTATGGAATTAATAGAACATATGTCATCGAAACTTTAAAAACAACATTAGATTATGTGATTCAGTAATTTCCTTTGCATCCATCAGTGCACAGATCACTGACCCAACTGGACATAATCCCTAATATTTCAGAGTGCATTGTAAAATTTATCATGTTAAAACATTAAAACAATATGATTGACAGAACTCTATTTAAGCAATAATTTTCACTGTGTTAAGTATTTGAAGGAGGCTAGATTTTAGGATCTCATATCTTTGAAAAAGTATATAATCCATGATAAACAAGTGATCAGAAAAGAGAGATGTTTTTAATTCAGCACCAATAAAAAAAAAAAAAAAAAAAAAAAGGACTATTTTATTTTTGCAAAACTCATGTTTGTATGTTAATTTGAAGCAATATAAAGTCATTGAATGATAAATACCAGAAGTGAATCAAGTTTAGCAGATAAAGAAAAACATGGAATAAAGAATAAACAGAAACAATGTATAAAACATTGTTATAAATTAAAATTAAAAATCATATAAAAATATATAATGAAAATGCATATACCAACCCTGGTAACAATTTTGGGGTCATTGCAACGAGCTAAACGTCCACCATATAAATGGACTCCAAATGTTGCAAATACAAACATTAAGAGAATCAGCAGTACAGATACCTGCAAAAATTAAATTAAATTAAAATAATAGATAAAAATACAATAAAATCTAACATTCCTACCCACCTTCTAAAAGTGATTATTTGTTTGATGTATTTTTATTACAATTCTTGTTTTGTAAAGTACAGTGTCTGTAATAGTTTAAGACATAATAAGCAATATCAAAAGTTAGTCTTTGTATGTTAATCTACAGAATTAACAGAGATGAATGCAGTAAATAAATATTTTGAAACTTTTACATAAACAGATGAACAGTTTTCAATCACAGATAAAGTAATTTACAGAAGTATAAACACATTCTAAGGTCTACCACATTCAAATTAAAGTGTGTAACAATCAAATATCTACATTAATTAATAAATTTACAGTTATGAACATTACAAAAATATTAAATCATACTGCATTATTTTTATTTGAAATTATACTGTTCATTTACCTGTGTATCATTTTGTTAAAAAATTCTTTGTTTTGACTTAGAATTTAAAAAAAAAAAATGATATTCTGACCTTACCACAAAAGATATTCTGATTAAAAATTTATTATTAACAACAGCATACATTTATATATTAATTTTGAATATTCAAAATATGATGCCTTTTTAGTGTGTCATTCTTAAAACAAAAGCTTGAGTACTTGTTGTTTAAACCATAGGATATTATTACCATAAGGATTTCCTTGAATCCTCGTACTAATTCATAAACAACTTTTCTCATATGAGGTACGAGATTAAAGATGCGGAGAGGTCGTAGGCATCGAAGGATCATAAGAACTTGAGCACCTGATTGGGCTGGTACTTTTTCTGGCATCCAAATTAAGAAAACTAGGCTTGTCTGCAAGAAAAATGTTCATCTCTATTAAAGACATTTTTGATACATAAAATTAATTAAGTGTTACTGAACAAAAACATTTTAAAAACATACATTTCAATTCCATGCTTTGGTCATTAAAATTTATATAAAATGAACTGTAGTTTTTCAGAGATTAGTAATTTTTTAAGATAATGTATCATATCATCCCGAATGTAAAAAGAAAAAATAATTACAAAAGGATTATATGATCTGCTGATATATACTGCTATCATTTCCCAAACAAGACTGAAGGCATGTATGAGTGATTATAGATATGTGTGAACATATGACCAAGCCCATCAAGCAGTTTTTCACTGACCAGACAACTTCACCCCACACTCTGTTTTGTTTCCTGTCTGTGTTGGCATGAATGTAATTGGGAAAAGACTCAGTGTAATCTAAGTTTCTAATAGAGGTGTGTGTGTAGGGGGGGTTCTTTTTTTGGAAGAATTTAACAACTCCTGTTCCTAAGCATATTAAGATCACTCCTTTTATTAATTTTGCACTTTTCTCCAGAACTGAAACAGGAAAAAGTTATTATTATAGTTGGTTCAACATTTTACTTGCATGAATTTATCATAAGCATGCTTTCATGATTGTTTGAATAAAATATATAAACAAGTTGTTTTATTTTTTAGCAACCTTGTCCCCAGGATTTTTTGCACTTTCTGATAAAATGATGGTGCATCTATGTACTTTTGATCTTTATGTGAGTTATGTAATTTGATATTTAATTTATACAAACCTTTTTTTTTTTTTGCATACTAATTAAGTTGTATCAGGGTTTCTTCATGTGCTACTATTTAAAGTGAAAGAAGTCCTGGAAACAAAGTTGGGTGTTGAAATAGTAGTTCTGAAAAAATGTTTTATATAAATTCTGAATTTTTTTACCTGTAAAAAGACGATAATTTTCTGATATTCACTAATGTTGAAAATGGATATATATGGATTATATCAGAAATATATTTCCTGTAGACTAGATAATACTTACAGTATATATAAAGAGGTCCAGTATACCACTGAAGTCTCTAACAACTGCCTTGGGAGTAAAGAATAAGCCTGATGCCAAGATTTTTAAAAGCATCTCAATACTCATACAAATGACAAACGTGTATTCTGCAAACTGAAAGGAAAATAAATATAAAACAAGTTTTAAAAAAGTTTCTTTTTAAAAGAAACATTACTCTTTGAAAAATTATGGTTTTGTACTAAATTATATGAAATTTTTAGTGTATGCTCCAAACAATTTAAAAGAAGTAGCTAACTTTATGCATGACAACAGTTTGATAAGACAACATTTCATCAAATGTTTTAATTTGGGTTGATGCAGTTATTTGATTTAAAAATATTTTATTGTAAAAAAACAATTTTTGATTGTAGTTACATCACATTTTAATAATCAATAGATTGTTTGCCATGGTTGCAGATTAGAAAATCTGTGACATGACAGACAACCTGTGTGTAGTGATAGAAAATAGAATGCAATTTGCGATACTGCAATTGAGGACCTTCACTACATGATTTGAAATAAAATAGGATATGAAATATGAAAGGTTGAATAAAAGAGGTGTCCTTATTTCATATCTGAATCCCAAAAGAGATAAGCTTTCTCGTTTCAATTCATATAAACACTTTTTTGTAGTGTTGTTACACTTTAAGTACTATAAAGCATTGGGGATTCAAAAAGGAAATGGACAAAAAAAAATGGCTTGCCAATGCCACCTGAGTGTGGATGCTGTACCTTTTTCTCTAAATGCTTACTGGTCATTTTATGTATGTTACAAGTTTAAATCCACATTAGCATATGACCTGTATTCAGAAATATGATCCACGACATATCCTTACTTTGTCACATAATCACTAAAGTGTTAATGTCTTCATTCAATCATGTCATATTACTTAATATGAATGGCATTTCCTATGATCATGTCATCCATAATACTTTTGGTCAAGGCAAACATCTGATTATATTGCATCATCTTTTTCATAACATAATGGCACTTCAAGAATGATCAATGTTTTTTTTTGTTTATTCCTGTAAATAATTTAGACTATATCCTGCAATAAGTCTTACGAAACAATTTTATAACAAGTTTACTTAATTTTGTGACAAGATTGTAAGCATTAATTCATGTCAAAATACAAAACCTTAAATTTGTAGGGACTTACCTGAAGGGCAGGAGTGTTCATAACTTGTTTCTGAGGAGTTTCCAATATCATTGAAATACAAGATAGCACTGTCACTATAATCATCATCCAATCCAAGTAGGTTACAAGGCCAAGGAGTTTACTATTAAATAAACAAATGATATATTTTTAACAATTCATACTGAGTAATGATACAATATGATGTAAAATATGTAAAATAGATTGTTATCAAATATAAACACTGTAAATGATCTGACTATTAATAGATTGACAAGCTGTGAAAAAAAAGTTACATCTCCAAATATCATGACCGTTTAAGAGTGTCTTGGATGAACAATAATATCTACCTACTTATTGCCACTTATTTCACCAAGTAGAACAAATACAGGGTTGCTCAGTCCTTTAAGAATACATATTTTAATAACATTTTTCTAACTTTCTGATAATCTTTCAGATAAATGATGACAAACATCAAGCTAATTAAGGAAATGAAAAAACACTGTAATCGTTAAAGGCTGAGCATAGAGACTGCTCACTTCCTGAAAGTTGGATGTTCATTTGCTCTCAAAGTTTCTAAAGAACTGTAAGCTGCTGATGGAGATTTTACAGCAGTAGCCAAATTATTTAAAACATCTGCTAAAGGTCCTAATATCATCAGAATACTCAAATTTGTATAAAAGGTGCAAAAATTATCAATAAGAGCCCCCCCCCAAGTCATTGCTAAGGAACTAAGTTTCAAAGTACTCTATCAGAAGAATTCTACATGATAGCCTTTGATACAAGTTATATATGATTCAGAGAGGCCAATTCATATCTGCAAAGACAAGAGATAACAGTCTGATCTGGTCAAAGTGCTTGTTGAGTAAGTTGAAACAATAAAAGCCTAAAATGCTTTGGTTTTTCTATGATGTGAAAAACTTTGATTATAACTAAAATGTCAACTGAAGAAATGCCAAATGGTTATGCAAAAACCATAAAGACATTTCAACAGTCATTCACACAGTTTTGGGTTCTGGGAGTTGTGAGCAACAAGAAATATGTCATGTCTCTTCACTTTTTTCCTCAGGGCTTATGGGTCAATGCTGCTGACTATAAGGAGGTGTTGAAGAGGGCTGTGCGGCCATGGACAAAGAATGTGAGCAAAGGAAGACTGTATACCTAACAAGACTGCGCCATCTCTTAAGACCAAGATGAATAAATATATATATATATATATATATATATATATATATATCTGCATTGTGCATGTGGGGAGCAAGCGAGATCAGAAGCATTAATAATTCTAGTATACAGATCTTATAAAAAAGCAAACATTACTTCTACGTTAATGGCACATGATTACATTTTGAAAAATAATTGTAAAGATCCTAGACAATATTTTTTAAAAACTTCTTTGTATATATCAATAATTCAAAAGATAAATAGAGGAAAATACCGATTCTTCTTTTTTAATGAAAAACCAAAATAAATGTGAACAAAGTTTATAAGAAAAGAAAAAAGAAAGATAAAAATCAGTTTTACTGTAGAAAAAAATTTGAAATATTCAGAAATTTGTTTATGAATATCATTTTATATATTATTAATTTATCTGGGAATTTTGTGAAATTGAATAATTTAGTAATTTATTCTTTACCCTATATAAATGTTGCAAAATTATTATTTGTTTATTACAAAATAAAGATGATATTCTAAATTAGATGGAAATACTTGTCTTTTTTATCCCATCAGAAAAAACCCCAAAATAAACCATATTATTGCATCAAATAAAGTTTATTCATACATTATTGTGCAAAAATTGTTCCAATAATTCAATGTATTCTAGTTCTTCTCAAATAGTGCTAATTTCTAATTTGTAAGTTACGTGATATCCATAAAATATCAGACATAACTAGTAGTGAATTGTTTCACCAAGCCACTTAAAAAAAAAAATAAAAAATAATGAAAATATCCTTTATTTTCCTTCCGTTAAGAAATTTGATTTTTCTGATTCAAAGTATTGTTATGTATTTTGTGCTGATATAAAAAACTTCTGTAATATTAGAGCTGTCAGTGCTTAGAAACTATAGTTATCAGTAATATTTTCAAGGTACTCTTATTCAAAAAAGGTAAAAAAAATTAAGGACAAACTGACAATAAAAAAGTAAACTAAAACATGTATTTAATAGGGAACATACAACCTGATAATACTATAAATGGATGCAGCAATATCTATCAGAGTGATGGTTACAAACTAAATTTCACAGTATATAATTATAGAAGAACTATTATAAAAACTACACATGACTAGATTTCTATTTGAGAAATAGAATACTATTAAGAACATTATTTCGCCTATACTTGCTTTTCAAGAAATACAATTAAAATCAGTTGTGAGATGATATTTTCCCAATCACATAGATCTCCTTAACAAATAAACATGTGTGGCCTCTTGAAGAATTTAACATCATTTGAGAAGGATCACATTAATCTAAATATCTTGAAAAAAGAAATAATAAAAGTACCACACTTCATTTGAATAAAATCAAACAGTATTTGATAACATAAAAGACAATTCCCACCATTTTGTTTACTATTATGGAGTTAGGTTAGCTACAAGTACTGGTAGCTTACTTAATTCAACTTTATACACAAGTCTTGGGAAATTTTTTTTAGATATTATTGAGAAAAAAGTGAAGAATTTTATATGCGATCAAATATGATAAGTGTCAATAATTCATCATCTCATAAATACGGAAACAATCATCTAAAAAGTTGTGCAATTCAAAACATTTAAAATATTTACAAAGTAGTACATTTGTTTTATACAGTTGTTTACTACAATCCATAGATTCATTGGCTGTTAGCTACAATAGAAGTACTAAAATCTTTTGTAATTACTTTTGTAAGCATGTAAAAACTCTTAAATGAAATTCTTACACTTAATCTGGATCTCATTAGATGCTTTATACAACATCCTGAAAACTAATAATAAAAGAAATTTGGAATTTTTGAAATGAAAAATTATCACTATTATATGCTAATCCACTCAAACGGTTGTTCTCATCTTGGTTGATACAATCATAATATTTTGGTTGTTATAGCCTTTGGTCTTTTTCAAGTGCCTGTTGTATTCAGTAACATTCTGAGAATTTCAAACCGGACCCTTTCTTCAATCCAGGGAGTAGACTACAACAGTACAAAAGATATACTCGCCTGAACAATGGAATGAGATTAGTGTGCTCTCATGAAAACTATAGTGTATAATTTCAGTTGGATGGTTTTATAACATGTCAACTCTTGATGGGTTAGTTAATGTCGACTTTTTGTATGGAGCACTGAGTGAGAATTCAACTCACAAATCAGTGGTAATGGTCAACCAGACTTGTTTCACTAACCATTATCCTATGCAGAAATGCTGCTGGAAATTACAACAGCTGAAATGTTATAACTATAATAACCAAAATGAGGACAACAGTTCAAATAAATCAGTGAATAGAAAAGTTTTTGCAAAATGGTACTTTTAACCATTGAAACAATGATAAGGAAAAAGCTGTGAAATACCAAGTGATCCAAGTATGAATGATGTATGAAGGAACATGCAGAGCTTATAAAAAGTAATCAAATAGATCTGGGTGATGAAAGCACATGCTTGCCATGCATGAATGGACATCAAATTAATTTAAATGACAAACATGACGACTGTAAAATGTATAACAAATCAAGAGCACAATAAACACAATATCTATTGTATATCAGAATATAATATTAGAAATGAGAATAAAAAATAAACCCAGAAACCTTACTTGTTGGTAAGAGGAAAAACCAATGTATTTTCTGATTATTTGATTAAATTTTTTAATTCTTTCTAGCATGTTCGAAATTTTGCTTAAAAATCTTGTTTTTCTTGCGTCGAGGTTAATCTAAGAAATTTTAGCATTTTTTTGCAGTAAAAAACACGCTGATTAGGAAATTCTTGCAAAAATCAATTGTCAAATTTTAATGAAACTTTCAGGACTTATTCACAAATGAATTAAATTATTTTAGAATTTTATTTTTTTTTTAAATTTTGCTAAAAATAAAATATATATATGTTTTTATGTTACACTTACTTAATTTTATGAAATTTCAAGAAATTAATTTTTCACCCCCTTAATATTTATATTGCACAAGAATGCAAACTATATTTGTATTGTGGTTTGACTCAATGCTAATATTCCAACCAAAATGATCCATTTCTTAAGTAGCATTTTGAAATTGATCACCTGCAAGAAATGGGAATTTTTTGTTCAGCAGCTTTAAATGAGTCACATCAATCTTAGTTATTATTTATTTTGTTAAACTTCACCTAACAGAAGCCTGTCTACAGGTTACGGTTACAGAAGATTACAAACAAAATGTTGATTATAAAAACCCACAAAGGGTTTTTGTTTTTTTTCAATATGCTATTTGATGTAAACAACAGCTCCAGCCATCTTTCAAAAAATAGATGGACACAATACTAATATATATCATATATTTGGATAATATTATTATAAATTGTAACTTGAAAGACTTAACAGGATAATCTTATATATAAGTGATGGTAGTCTTCATCTGTATATTTAGAAATTAAACTTCATTATAGAGTGTATAAAATACTTAGGATTCATGAATGGCAAATAGATCCTCCCAACATTGGAACAATTCAGAAAATGCCACCATTACTGGATCATGAACCTTTTGATTCATTTTGATATGTCAATAGAAATAGTGGTTGCTGGTTGCTTCAAATACTTTGAACTGTCAACATCTTTGCCATTGTACCCTTTGACCTTCTTTAGGTGTCTGTACTTGATAACCTCCTCATAATAAAGGGTTCATTTAAAAATTTCAAGGTTACCAAGTATATCAACAGACACCTAAAGAAAGCTTGAGGATATAACAGCTGAAATATTGAGTGTATAACAACCAAGATAAACATACTGGTCCAAATAATAAGGTATATAATAATGATTATTCTTCATCACAAAAATTCTGATATAAAAACTGGGTTAACTTGGATTACTGATGATAAATCAATTCAGAATTTAGTGGTGCAAAGCTTTCTGATGTTTCTCAGTCTGGCAACTTTAGTTTCAATTTCAGGTCTGCCAACAACATAGAACAGGCAAACATTTTCTCTTA